ATCACCAAGTTCTACTGATTTCTCAAATTGGTCCATTCTCTCCATCTCCATCATCTCTTGTCTGGACCACTGCAATGTATACCTGACTGATCTGTCCTCACACCCTCAACCCCATTCCAATCTATTGTCCATACTGTAGCAAATATTTTCAAAATGCAAATTAGATTATCTTATACCCTCCCTGGGTTTGTCTCTTCATCTACTCAAGCTACGTTTGCCTGCCTCTAATTTCCTCTTGCCACAGGGCCTTTGCACAAGCTATATTTATGTCTGGAAAGTTGCGTCCCTTCCACTGCTCTACCCACTCCCTATACCCAGTTTAATTTTGAATTTTATCTCAAACATCACTTATTTAAGGAAAGTTTCCCTATCTTCACTGACTAGGTCAGATTCCCCTAGAGTATAGCATAGTCCTTTAGTCTCCTTTGTAACATTTATCAGTGTAATATTTTACATTTATTTATATGAACAAAACACATGTGGTTCCTACCTTTCTGAAACTTGAGGTTTATTTGAGGGATGAAGGAAAATTAATAATGTTCACAGAAATTCCCTTATCTGACTCTGTCAGACAGATAATTAGTGGGTTAATTGAAAGTCAGATAAATCAGGGAGTCATCTTTTGATGAAACAATCTATTTTTTGCCTTTGATCAGATTTTCATTCAAAATTAGCTGTCCACAGTGATTTGACCTTTATGGAATAAACAAATTTAAGGTTATACTGCAGGCTTCTTTTCTTCTGTGGTGGGTTTCTTTTCTGCAGGCTTCTTCTCAGCTGCTGGTTTCTTGGTTGCTGCAGCCTTTTTTCCCACCAAAGGCTGCTTTTGCTTTGTAACGCCAATAGCCTTCTTTCCTTTCTTTCCTACCACAGGCTTCTGGCCTGGAACCCCCTTCTCATCTGATTTGGCTTCTAACACTGTTGCTGCTTTATCCACTCGGAGCCTGTGGTCCTTGGCTTGGGGAAGAAGGGTGTTCTGGTACATGGTCTTTGCATATGGGTTTAGCTTCAACATGATTCTCAGGGTTTTCAGTGGATTCTTCTTTAGGATTCTGTATTGAAACTTTTTGCGTGGTTTCAGAGAGCCCTTTGGATCTCTGGGCTTTTCTTTTCTTTTTAAAATTGATTATAGAGAGAGGAAGGGAGGGAGAGAGAAAGAAAGAGAGAGAAACAATGTGAGAGAGAAACATAAATTGGCTGCCTCCCACATGCCCCCTACTGAGGTCAAGTCCGCAACCCAGGCATGTGCCCTGACCAGGAATTGAACTGGCGACCTTTTTGTGCATGGGTGATGCTCAACCAACTGAGCCACACCAGCCAGGGCTCTGTTTTCCAGATTCTGGTAAGCTCTGCATTGAGCATCTTGTGTATGGGAAGGTTGTAGTTACTCTTGAGGGAGTCAGCTTTACACCAGGCACCATACAGATCATCTAACTCGGCAGAAAGCACTTTCAGTCCAAATGCAGAAACAGCCCACACGCCCACCAGGAAAGTTGCAAAATGTTCGGTTTGCTGACATTAAGCAGAATAATTCCAGGGATGTTTCTGAAGGCTTTGATGATTTTTTTAATCCTTATTATAGACGATGCAAGGTCCTGCGTGCTGGATACGACGGTTTCTCATTTTGCCCTTGCCAGCTCTCATTTGCCGAGAGGCATAGACCTTTTTGATATCATCCAAGGCCTTAAGTTTGTTAAGAAGCAGGCCTTCTTGGTCTTCTTGTAGGCCTTCAACTTTATCTTCAGCCACCAAAGGAAGTTCAGGAACTTCCTCAATACGATGACTTTTACACACGGCCTGTGCGGGGAAGGCCGAGGCAGCCAGGGCAGAGCAGGTGGCGTATCACTGCTGTATCGTGTTCACTCTGTGAGGCCAATGGCACCAGGGTTTGGTTGGTGCAAACATGTGGCCCCCATGACATATTTTTCCAAAAGCAGCGTGGCCAGAATGATGAGTCCCACCACCTCAAACTCTGGGAATTCGAGGGGCACCTCTGCCAGCACCCCACGACTTGGTTCTGGTTTGATGACCTGCCAATTTGCGGACAACATAGGACCAACTATTGTTTTTGCACAAGTAGGTGTGAACAAAGTTCACAATATCTGGTCGAATGGGAGCCTTGAACACAACAGGCAAAGTGACATTTTTCCAGATGATTCCCTCTTTTCAGAGTACACTGATGTCAGTGGACGAGTGCAGGCCATGGCATAGAGAGGAGAGGACCACACTTCCGTCAGCGGGGGCTCCCCTAGGAAAAGTGAAACAATCTATTTTAATTTCAGATGTATAAATATGCATTAATTTGCCAATATTTTAGTAAACTTTTTCTTTTATATATGGATTGTCAACTAGTATTCCCTTGAGTTTTTTCTTGCATAAACATCACTTAACATTTGCTCTAATTTTCAGTAAAATGAGAATTTTGATACTTTGAAACCATATAAATGCAGAATCCTTCTCAATTTTTGATTATTTTTCCTTTTCCTTCTATCCTTTCACACTTGTCTTGCCCACACCTACTTTGGCAGCAATTTTTCCAGTGATTCACATTTGTTATTCTTAATTGCAGCTATAGTTTTATGTTGGTGTGTGGAGCTTTATGTTGGAGGAAGGCAGCTGTCTCACTGATAAGAGATTGGGGGCAGGGCCCTGAAATCACTCTGCAACCAGCCACTTTTTCAGGTGTCTGAAGTTCCATCACTAGTGCAGGTTGCTCTGACTCCACCCACCTTGAAGATGGGCCCTGAGTGAGATGATGGGGGAGAATACAAGCACGAGTGCCCCTATGCCTGGGTCACACAGCTGCCCTGCAGCATCTCCCAGATGTTTCTTTGGTCCAACTAGACCTGTGTCTATTTTTTCTAGTTAAATTTATGTCTTTGTGTTTTAGGGTAGAAGGGTTAAACTACAAGATGTTCCCTAGCCATGTTTTTGTTTCCACACATCCATGGCTACTCCCGTACCCTAATGTCTCTTGGAGCATTGACTCGGCAGGAGTTTTCTTTGTTTGAGGGGGAATGGAGCACAAATGTCTGGGGCCTCACTGACCTTACATTCCAAAGTCCTGTGCCTGCTGCAACTCAGCCAGCTGCCATTTCACCCAGTGCCCTCCTTCCTTCCTTCCTCATCAGTGCTCCCTGCAGTATATGCTCTGCGGTTCCTTCCGGTGCACAGTGGGCCATGGGCCTGGATCCTGTCTCCGTTGACCCTTAATGTCTAATGGGAAAGTCTTTTCCCAGAAGAGTAGCACTTGGCTGATGCTACACTTGACCCATTAGGATGGAGGATGGCATCTTCCTTTCTCTGTTCACCTTTTGGTTGGAAGTGCAGACATCTATTATTGCAGCAGGACAGGTAATAGTCCTCAGATCATTAGCTGTTTGGTCTACTACCAGAGCAAAATCATGTTGTGTTTGCTGTTTGTCTGTTTATATGTCAGTGTCTCCTTTTAGATTATGAGGTCTTTGAGTGTTAAGTGTAAAAGGGTGGTTCAAATCTAGGTCTTTGGAATTAGGCAGACCTGAATTCAAATTCTTGCTTCGCCATTACCAGCTCTTCTGACCACAGGCAAATTACACACTCTTTGTGCTTCAGTTTCCTCATCTGCACAATGGGGATAACAATAATACTTTCCTCATAAGATTGTTGTGCAGATTTTAAAAAAGGTCTGGTGTAGAAAATGTTTAGCACAGTGCCTGGTTTGTAGCAAGTGTTTAAGAAATGTCAGCTGTGATGTTTCTGTTAATAGTAATTTGGTGCTGCCTGCCCAGTGTGGCTCAGTGGTTGAGCATCAACCTATGAACCAGGAGGTCACTGCTCAATTCCCGGTCAGGGCATGTGCCTGGGTTTCGGGTTCAACCCCCAGTAGGGGGGGTGTGGGAGGCAGCCAATCAGTGACTCTCATCATTGATGTTTCTCTCTCTCTCCCTCTCCTTTCCTCTCTGAAATCAATAAAAAACATTAAAAAAAAATTCTGGTGCTCTTAGCACCTTCCAAGTTGCTATAAGTATTTGTTGAATGAATGTATACAGGAAGTAGGGTTTGAGGGCCTTAGCAGAGACTGGAAACATTTTAATACCATACTCCCTGAGAAGTCATACAAAAGCAGGTCTGATCATAGATGGAGTGCTTGCTCATGCTAATGAAATTAACAAAGATAATTTCTTGAGCAAGCACCATCCCAGGAGAGCAGTTCATTGAGTTAGTTGGGATTATTATGTTATTCCTGCTGGAATGGTTTCATTTTTTTATATCTATTATTAGAATAACTCTGGGAACTTGTATTAGTGGACTGAATGCATTTGTAACTGATGGGGGAAGCAAGTTGCAACCTCAGTGATGTCCACTCCATATAAAAACTGGGAGTTTGCTTTTCCTGAGGAAAGCAAGATTCTAAACTGTAGTGAAAAAGAAGTTCTTGGTGTGCTACAGTTGAATTAAGTCCTTAAAGATTCCCGGAACCAGCATTCCTGGTTAATGGTTGAAGAAGTCAGCACATGGCCTCCCAGCTCAAGTTCTAGCACTCTTTTATTTTTCATATTCTGCCCTTTCACCCTGTGGTTCCTTTTGTTGTGGTTCCATGGAGCTGTTTGATATATTGCCTAGGAAAACAGCCTTTTTACATTTTTAATGATTTGCATAAGTTCAAAACTTCTGGCTACTTAAAATCCAAATAATAATGTTCACTGCCCCCTTAAGAAAATTAGATTTGTTTTCTCTCCCAACCTGTAGAAGGGCTTTTTCCATTGTCAGCTCATCTGTGCCCTGTTGTGGGATCAGTAATGACAGGTAGGTGGCAGAATGGCATGCTGTAGGCAGTAGGGTTTTGTTAGCCTCCATCACCTCAGTAGATACAGACCGTGTCACACTTCTTGAGTCACACAGGGATGTTTAGATAACTGCTGTCACTGTATTTGGTGCATTTGAAAGGTAATACTTTCCAACTAGGTCGTTTGGACATAAAACGACAGAAGTATTATGGCCTCTTTTCTTCTTTCTAGATCTGATATTTTGACCTGGCTTCCTGCTTCGGTGCTGTTTGTGGGCATAATCTATGCTGGCTCCAGAGCATTGTCCAGGCTGGTAAGTGTTAGCAATTTTGGGGGACAGCCCTTCTCTCTTCTGCCCTGTTGCCTTTTAACTTATCGCACCCAGAGTAATAGAAGACAAAGCACTAGCTTTAATAATGGTATACCTAGATTGGAGAACAAGCCTTGGACTTGAGGCCAGCATGGGGTCTTTTACCCTTTCCATGAACTGAAGATAAACAGATAACAGGGAAGGGCCTACTTGTTTTATAAGATAGAGAGGCACTGCCCTGGCCAGTGTGGCTCAGTTGGTTGGACCTCTTCCCATGCACCAAAAGGTTCCTGGTTCGATTCCTGCCCAGGTTGTGGGCTTGATACCTGGTAGGGGGAATGCAGGAGGCAGCCAATTGATGTTTCTCTCTCTCCCTTCCTCTCTCTCTAAAAATCAATAAAAAATCTTAAAAAGAAAAAGATGGAGAGGCACAGATGGAGATGCAGGAAGAAAGAGTAGCGACATTTGTGGAGGCTGTCACAGATAGGGCCAGCCTGCTCTGAATGCAGGCCATCTGCAAGAGCAAGGAGAGGGGGTTTAGCCTGCTCCTTGCTTCTGGGGAACTGTGACCCTGCCCATTGGTAATGTGGCCTGGGGTATGTGGATGTACATACCTGGCACAGAGCTGATACCCAATAACATAGGCATGCTAGTGAAAAAAGTCTGTATACTATCCTCCTACCCTATTCCCCCAGGATTGAGCTCCTTAAAGGTGGAACTGTGGAGAACAAATTTCTAGTTACATGATATGGAACTCAAAAAATTTAGTTATTTTGCCATCAAAAGAGAATCCATGCATACCACCATTGAACAAAGACTCAGAATGCTGCTTAAAAAAATCTAACAGTAGTAATACCTCTTCCTGTTTTTTATCCTGAATACTCGCTGTTTTTATCTATCAGAAAATGATTGCATTCCAATTTTTGGAAAAATTCAAAACTTGCAAAACAACTCAGGCCTTCTGTGTAAAGTTTGTTGTTATGTTGGTCCCTCTCAGATTTGAAAACAGTAAAAAAACAAACAACAAGATCTGCCTAGTTGGGTAACAATATTATTGTTAGGACAACTCCAGAGTTGCAAAATAGCAGTTGAGAATTAATAGCAGTAATTTATAAATTAAATCAATATTTTTCTTTCATGATTTATAAGCCTAAGTAGATGGGATGATGTGTGCAGTGGGGGAGAAACGTCCTGGGTGGGCCTAAGAAAGAACCCACAATGCATGTTGGTGCTCAGCCCAGACCAGGAGGCCTGTGCTGGCTTTCGGCTGCCTCTTCTTGATTCTGTCAGGATCCTGCGAGTCTGCTGCCTTACTTTACAGCCGGTGGCCTACAGAGGGTGCTTCCTCTCCTATAGCAGAGATAGCATTTGGTAAAAAACAATGTTCTGTCCAAAGGCTTTTAAAATTTTTATAGGATCTGGGTATTTATTGATGCCAGAATTTTGAAGTTTGAATAACCAAGGTGTCATGCTAATAATAACATTTTTTTTTTTGTACAGTGCTTTTCCATATGTTTCCAGGGTGCTTTTTTTTCTGTATCTTTGTATGTGTTTCTCATAGATACCTGGTAGGTGATGGGTGAGGCAGATGTTAACCCCCTGACAGAAGAAGGAACTCAAGTATGGAAATTCTTGGTCATCCCGACCAGTGTTGCTCAGTGGTTGAACGTTGACCTAGGAACCATTGAGTGTCAACTTATCAACCAGGAGGTCATGGTCCAATTCCGGGTCAGGACACATGCCCAGGTTGTGGGCTTGATCCCCAGTAGGGGGCGTGCAGTAGGTAGCTGATCGATGTTTCTCTCTTATCAATGTTTCTATCTCTCTATCCCTCTCCCTTCCTCTCTCTCTAAAAATCAATAAAAACATGTTTTTTAAAAAAAAAAAGAAAGAAAGTCTTGGTCATCTGCCTCTGGTTCTACATAGTGGCAGCTCTTCTGACCTTTTGCCTTTTCAGATATGCTCTTTATGACCAATGCATATGGATTTTAGAACAGGCTGTGGGTATAGTAGTGATGCATAAGTTCAGACTCTTTTGGTTGCAGGTGCTGGAGAGCTCATAAACTGATCTAAGGAAAAGGGAAATTCACTGGTTCACATAAGTGAAAAGTCAGAGGGTAGAGATCTGCTTCAGGCAAGGCTTGATCTAGAGCAACTAATGACATACTCAGAATCCAGTTTCTGTCTTTGTCTCATTTCACAGTCAGGCTATCCTCTCAAGAATGTTGTGTTGTTGACTCCAGACTCACATCCCCACAATTTTAAGTCTAATGGAAAGAGACTGTCTTCCTTGTAGCTCCTGTGTGAGTCCCTGGATTCAATGCTGGTTGGATTCAGTCAGGGCCACTGCCCATCTCAGGCCTGAAAGCTAACCAGGAGCATGGAATCATGCTGATTGGCTGCCCTGGACCGAGACCTCCCTGAACCAGTCACTGTGGCTGGAAAGACTCAGAGCACTGTTTAGCCAGCCCTTGTCATATAGGATCCCTACCTGCATCCCACAGACTGAGAGAGGGTGTGGCAGATCCTCAGTATTGGGTGCTTTACCAAAAGAAAGAATAAGGATACTAGGTGGCAAAAAACCCTCAAAAGTCCATTGTAAATGCCAGTCTAGCACATTCTCAGGCCGATGGGGAGTTTTTTAGCCTAGAAAATGCTTCTCGAAGTCTGATCTAAAGGCAGTGCAGGTCTGTGAGCTCTGTGTTACCTGTCCATAGGAGACTGCAGCATGTACATCAACTTCGGCACTAAAAGTACTATTTAGATGGGCTGACATTTTAGTTTTAAAGCAATATTTTTTGTAGAAGGAAGCAAAGAATTGACTTCCATTCTGATTCGAGCTGCTTATCTTCTGGGGGCCAGCACTTTGAGTGGCCTTGACCAAGAGCATAGGCTCTTTTAATAAGCAAAAAGAGCTGCCACGATTCAAACTCTTTGAGCAAAGGGAAACAACCAAAACACCCAAATATACCCAGTTAGGGGAAGAGGGTGACAGGAGACACGCATTGTTTTGTAGGTGAAATAACTTAACCCAGCATCTTTTCTTTGTTTTCTGAGTTTTTTATTTTCACACAGTTGCTTAAAAATTCATAGAGTAGATTAAACACGAGGCACTTGTACAGCTTGTGTTAGATAGAAAACAGGCATCAATATGCCAGAGCCAAGCTGTCAGTTTAACTGGGGGAAAAGTGCTCAGTTAAAATCCGTGGGTGCATTGTTATGCAAAACACTCTCGAGGTAGCTCTGCTCTGTCAAGGCCTCCTTTGTCAAGGCCTCCTTTGTCCGAGGAGACTTTGGAGCTTCATTCTCCTGATGTGCAACCCCCGAGAGGAAGCTGGCTTCACTCTGCTGAGGCCCAGTGGGACAGAAAGTTGTTGATTTTTCCACCTCATACTCACAACCAAATGCTATACAGAGTTAAGGGAAAGAGATTCTTCCTGTGGCTATCCATTCAGCAAATATTTATTGGGGATCTACTATATGCTGGGGGCTTAATGACAAATCACGGTCCTTGACTCTGAGGAACCTCAAGGGGAGTCAGTGAGGGACACAGAGCTCACTATGGTAGCAGCCACCTGGAATATTCAGTGTTAGTATGTGCGGGGCACTTCCCATTGCCTACCTTCATGACATATAAAGTTGGACTTAGTTACTCCCATTTACAGATGAGGAAACTGAGATGCAAATTATTTGGCCAAGGTCAAAAGCTAGTAAATGTTAAAGTGGAGATACAGACCCAAGCCCGTCAACTATAACGGTGCATCGCCAAAGCTTACCCTGTTTCCTCCCTAAATTACACCAACCAAGGAGATCAGCCCATTAGGATGAGCAGAGCGGAGGGGAGAGGACCCGTGTAGTTCCTCTCTCTTCTACTGGGGCTAATTCGGGTCCTCTTCTCCGGCTTTTCTCCGCTGAATAAGGTCACAGTGATGATGGCTCTGATGGCATGAGTGCCAGTCTTTGGATGGACAGTACCATTTTGACCAGTCATTATTACTCTCATTATAATTTTCCGGCCAGAAGCCTTCTCAGCTAGACAGGGTTGCCTCAAAGCCTGTGCTGGTGAGTGTTTAGAACAGATGTGCAAATTCATACATTAGTGAGCTTGCCTGTGAGAGGCCAAGCTGGTGATTTGGCTCCTCAAACCATGCTGTGTCCCTGCTTGGGGAAGCCAGGGTCAGCAGTTGGAGAGACTCTGCAAATCCAAGTTAAGGCATTTTGACAGGACTGGACTTGGTTTCTTACCCAGCTCTTTGATCTTGGTCCTTTCTTAATTGCTTGTCAGGGTTTCTGTCTTCTGTGAGCACAACATTCACTCACCACGTTGGGATGGAGACTGGATGGGGGTGTTGGTGAGGAAACACACATGGAGTAAGTTACTCAATTAAGCAAACTGGAGCCCATGTATTCCCTCCCCCTTTGTTTGGCTCCAATATCACGTAAAGGAACTTGGATCCGCAAAGGAAAGAATGTAAATGTTGATGTAGATGGAGACTCTTCTCCTAATGTTCCCTGTTACTGCTGCTTAGAGGCAGCTCTCTTATTTCATGCTTTCTTATCAGAGCTGATCAGAGTCCAACTGTAAGGACTGCTTATTAAGATGTGGGCCCTCTGGCAAAAGAGTAAACCCCTCTTCTGATTTTAGTTATCTGCTTGTTCCATCTAAAGATGTTCTCTATAATCCTTATTAAATGACTTATTAAAATGGGGCTCCGAGGGGAAAACTTCACAGCATTGGATTGGGCAATGATTTCTCGGATATGACACCAAGACACAGTCATCAAAAGAAAAAATAGATGAATTGGACTTCATCAAAATGAGAAACTTCAGTATATCAAAGAATACTATCAGTAGAGTAAAAAGGCAACCCACAAAATGGGAGAAAATATTTGCAGATCATTTATCTGATAAGGGATTAATATCCAGAATATATAGAAAACTCAACAAAAACCAAGCAACCTGATTCAAAAATGGGCAAAGGACTTACATAGACATTTCTCCAA